ATTTAAACCAGAGATTGCCAGAAGAAAAATTGAAGAAGTGCCACTTTTAGAAATAATACCCTTTCAGGTCGCTTTTTGGCGGAAAAGCGATGATGCGAACATTTTTATTTTCACTTTTAGAAAATCTCCAGCTATTTTCTCCGGTTTTAAACGGCGAAGTGTGAAATTACAGAACCTTTTACATAAAGGAAGTGAATAACTCACCTAGAACGTGGTATTGTCTTCCCTTATAAAGGTCGTCTCTCCTCGGCGTGCCGTACCTGCAACAAAAAGGTAAAATGTGAAAATTTTAATTCCGAAACGACAAGCGTCAACTTTCTTATATTCTTCATTCCAGTTTAACAAAGTTGAAATTAAATATTCTAATAGGAAATTACAACTCGACTGCGCAAGTATGCGCGTCTAAGGGGATCATAACTTGGGGAAAACTTTTAGCCAACTTGGAGAGCTCTTCCATATAACTTGGATTCGAGTGTTCGACCACTCCTGTCATACCGTCGCGAATTAGAACTCTAGAATTGGGCTTCTACGCATTCGGTCTAATTACGAACTGCTACAGGCGACGATAATTGCGTTGCATCGCACTTATTACCACACCCAGCCACTTAATCGTAAATAGCTCAATCGAAAATACTAGCTTTAGGCTTCTGTTTTGAGCGTTCGCATAATTAGATGTGGGCTTCGAAGTCGAAAAGTCTAAATTAAATAATTTACATAATTCTACGTTAGTTTTATGAAAACACTACAATAACCAGGAAAAGAAGAAACGAAACGAAGAAAAGCTAAATGAAAAGTGTGATTATTCCAATAGTTTCGAATGTTTGACTAATTTCGTCCTTACCTTTACCAACTTTCAAATACATAATTAATTTTCTCACCGAACGATAATTGAGAAGGCACTAATTACTACATTAAATCATAATCAGCAATTTTGATTACGAATGCAAATGATATCGACCCGTTTGCATTTTCCTCTCCGTTAATAAACAACATTAAATTTTAATTGTGTAATTGAACAAACAGATGTAATTTGATTAAAACCCACTTGAAACCCCCGAAGAGTACATACGTCAGTGTTATGGGAAACGGGGCGGACTGACATAAAAAAGACATAACGAGTGGGAATGTAGACATTAGTCTGTTATCGAGGTTTAAATTAACATAAACGTCAATTCAGACTACCAAACATGTCGGAACCGGAGGTGAAGAGCTCGAAGACTCTCGAAGACCTCCACCTTGTAATGGTATGAAATTAGCACGGGAGAAAATTACGGGTGTTGGTTGCGAAACTACCACAGACGTGACCGGTTGTTATGAAATCTTGCAGAGATTAACGTCACATCGCAATCCACATGACAAGTACTCGCTTTTTAATCTACTTCAGAGTTAGTTAGTACTAATAAAAAGGAGCGGCACCAGATTGTTCCCAAAAGTTTGTAATTCTGCACCGAAAAATTTACCGATCAAAAATTCGTTAGTTCCATAACGAACAAATATAGAAGTAGCCTCATATTCTGCGCCAAAAGTTGTAGAACACAAAAAATGCCATCGGGTTTACCAAGAAAAAGTAAGTTGGTTCTTATCTTATTCGATATTTCATACGAAAAAGGATAACGGTGGTCCACTTTTACCAGTCACAGCAGTCAGAGAGGTGAGTGGTTAATTCAGCGATATGACTCCCAGAGACAGAAGAAATGCATTTCTATTGTTCGCCAACGCATATT